GAACTACGATTTTGTTCATGGTTGTGGTTATAAAATTTTGAAGAATGAAGATATGAAATACTAGGAAACTTTATACCATTCAGTATTTCTTTAGTTAATTCTTATTATACTCATGTTTTGAGTTATTCTAGATCAGACAACGTATTGTGAATACAATTATTCCTATATGTGCTCAACTTCGAGCAAACTGAATAGACATAGTATTCATAAACATTGATATTTTCTTTCAACCACATCAAAACGATAATGGAAGATATACTCACTTAGTGTTTTTTTACTTGTATCATCTCATTGATGTTCACTCCGAAACTCGAAACTACTACCGTCCACTTCAAACGCCATCGTGTTTCCACTTAGCCACTGAGTTCTGATAACCGCCTGCTTGTGCAACGGGGTGAAGTTATATTCACTTGGTGTTTTCTACTTGTATCTTCCGATTGTTATTTAGGACTGCAAGTGACTAGTCCCTTATTTGCATATGTGCATCCTGTGCGGACTACCTCGATAAATACTGGAAGATTTATATATATATAAATAAATTTACGAGTAACGCAACGTTGTTACGCAATAAATGAAAGTTAACAAACACAATATAGAATAAGGAAGCAAATGAAATATCTACAGTCCACTATTTTCATGGTTAATACAATAAACTGAGTGAATATATTAGCTTTTATTTAACAAGTTATATATAAATTAGCTTATACACATTGAAAATAAAGAATAGATCTATTGATATATGCATAAATATGATGATTCACATTTGATTAGACTTTCTAGATATACTTCCATTCATACGAATACTAAATATCCAACCAACTGCATTTCACCATGGATGGTAGCTAGTATTGGAATCCAGAACATGTATATATCCCAATAAGGGACTCATCAATCATAAGGTTTAAGTAACCAATGCATAATAAATTAAATAATTACTTTGTTGGGAAATAGATAGCATTGTATATATGTCATATTTTTTTGTATAACTTGAAACTACTTCATTTGACATGAGCATAAAAATGAATACATAGGAAATCTGATATATCTGAAGAATATATTCACAGTTAACTGTCAGTTAAGTTTGAGGAGATTGACTGTAAAAAGAACAAGTTAATCATAAACATAGTTTCACTCTTACATTTTAGGAGCTGAAAAGTGGATATCGTTTTACACCGAAAACGTATTCAGACTTTGTTTATAATCTGTACATGCATTCAAATCAGTTGGTAATCAACAGATTAATCAACATGGATTCAATCTAATCTTTGTCAACAATTATTATGGGACCACATCTCTTAACGTTGCTCAATTGCCTTGTGGATTAGATCTCTTAATTAAAGCCTCGGGAGTAGCCTCTCAAGAACATCATCTGTTTTAAGTTGGACACTCGGACAGTATAATAGCCCAAACACCAATTGAATGATGCCTCTTTGAATCAATATTTACATGTCCAAATAAATAGAGATAAGGGGTCAACTAATCATAGGACTGGTAATCACCATAGATAAAAGAGTGAAAGACAATACAATCTATAAAGATAACGAATCATAAATAATACGATCAGACGGAACGAAATAAATCACTTATAGAATAAATGTAAAGCCATGTTTACAAAGGTTACAAAACCCCCTTGGTTAAACTATCTAACTTGAAAAAAATACTACATTCATCATACTTAATTGATGAGAAGATATTTTAAATTGAGACTTAAAATGCAAGAACAATTTCAAAAGAAAAGAAATGAATATACTAAGCTAACTGTGGTCATCTTGACTTGCAACATTAATGCGGATTATTTATTAGTTGGAGAGAATGCTGGTGTGCGGTCTATGCTCCATCACGCAGAGTAACAGGCGTACGTAAGTAAGTAGGTAATTTATTAGTTTATTCATTAAATAGGTATAGCTTTATCTCATGTTATTAATCTAATTCATTGAACAGTGTAAAAAAACAAACAAATCATATAATAAATGAATTACCCTAATATTTAAGTTATTTTGAATACCTTGATATATATATTTATCCTTGTTCATTCCTTTTAACTATTATTGAACTCATTCTCATGCATCTATTAATACTAACACATACCCATACTTATTTTCATATACATCTTCCGTTGATTTATGTTTCTCCGATTGTGAGTTTTTGTATATTTGATCGATGAATAACAACTGGAAGCAGCTGGAAAGGATTGCCCAGGACAGGGTTGGATGGAGAATGCTGGTGAGTGGCCTATGGTCCTTCATTAGGAGTAACAGGCATAAGTAAGTAAGTAAGTAAGTATGTCTATTTTTATGATAAGAAGTGAATAAAACGTAAATTTGCTTTTATTTGAATGTCTGAAGTATATTATTTTACAATACGGTTAACATAACTATGATATGAGAAATGAAAAAGGGAACGATATTTAACTAAACTCAAAAAAAGAATTACAGTTATCAAATATAATTGTTGCCTTCGAAACAAAACAACGAATACTTAAGTGGACAATTGTTTTCAATAAGTTCTACAGTTATAAGTCCATAATTATTAAGATATTTTACAAAGGACAGAATTAGACATGCATTCATGAGTTTGACAATGTTATATGTTAAAAATGAGGAATGCTTGCTTCTGTTACGACACAAATACTTCTAAATTATGTTATTTGTAAACTAGAGGAGTCATTTAATAATGGTCAGAATGATTTGTAGTAAAGTGTTTTTGAATATTCTATGAGGATTTTCAAACTGCTAAAATCTAGTGAGCACCCAGATTATTGTTAAATATTGTAAAATTTTCATTGGCTATAAGCAATTTTAATGTGAATGTCCACGTCGATATCGTCAAATCATTTACTGTGGTAACAGGATATTTCATAGTGTTTTGATAAATTCTTATGCCGTTCTACAGCCGAGAGCGGGGAGAGTCAGCTGTCCCTCTCGAAATCCTCTCATATGGCCACATGTATACAACCACTACCACGGCAGTCCTACCCACTACCTTCTCCAAGCGAGGGTGTTGTTTACGAAATTGAGAGAATGAAAAATGAATGTCCGGCGATTAACCGGGTTGGTGGACATGGAGTATCCACCTAGGGTAGTTGTAAAACCCTGATTCCAAACCGATGGTACACATGGGTTCCAGGATCCTGAGGCAACAAATGGTGTATGAGCCAAATGTTGGTTACCGTGTACCATGGGACTGTTCCACTGCCCAGTAGATTTATTATATCTAATAAACATACCATACAATACATCATTTTTGTATTATTAAGATTAATTTTTATTTATTCCTCCTACTGTGTTTTAAACTAAGTTAATACTATATACATATATAATATAATTGATAAGAATCATTGGAGTGAAACATTCCTAATTTTAATGACCTGTAAAACTTGACCATATTTTGTATTTAGTACTAAACAATATTCACTTAATCTGATTTCGTTAACAGTTGTTTTAATGTTTATAATATAAAAGAGCATACAATGAAATATGTAGAGTATTCAGTTCATTTATATATTTGAAAATATGATCATTTTGTCTTGATTACTACACTAATGCTTTCTAATGAAAAATTATTTCAAGGCATAAAAACAGTACTATATATATTAAGGTTTTTCTCGCATACATTATGGAAACAGTGTTGGCATGTGATTACCATTATATACATATATTATAGACATAAATGGTAAATTGTGGGGGTTTTTTTCTTCTTTCATATAGAGTTTAGAAATTGGTTATTTAAGTGACCATGTAGAAGAAGTCACTTTCCCTAACATATTCACATCGGAAGAGGTTTTGTGGATGTTATAATAACTTTAATGGTTGGGATCAACATATATTCACTAGTGAATGACTTCAAGGGGTATTTCTTGGAGTTCTAGTGAGAAGCAATGACCAATGGAGTTCAACCAGGTCTGTTGTGAAGTAGTTATTCGTTGAAGGCAGTTGTGGCGCGATTTCATGGATTGGTTGAAGTTAGACATTAACAACTTCGGATACCGGCTCAATGATCTAATGGTTAAGCATTCGTGCTCGAGAGCAATAGGTCCTGAGTTCGAATATTGCAACGTGGGATTATGGATGTGCACTGCTGAGGAGTCTCACAGTGGAATGAAACTGCCATCATGTGCTTTCATGATTTCCATGGTGATCTAGCTTCAATCGTCTCATGATTTCAACTGCTGAAATTATTATAATATCTACAAAAACCCCTTTCTCATATTTATCCTAATGAACACAATTTTAATATAACCTGTACATAATCCATAGTGAGATAATAATTGTTTTAGTTGTATATTTATACAATGAAATTACATTTTATATAATCAATTTATCATTAAAGTCTGTCCTTTTTATATTATCAGTAGTTTAGATAGTTTTCTTAATTCAATTAGGTCATTAACGACAATAGAAAATAATCATTGAAATGAACTCAATATCACCGGAATGTTTATGAAAGGTAAAATGTTGATTAGTTAGTTACGTCTTTATTAGAAAATAAAATGTTCTACATGGAGATTGCTGTGAATCGATTTAATATAGAAATAACAATAATTCAATCATATTGTCATTGTTTAATGATAAAAGAACATAAAATTATACAAGATTGATAGTTATTAAGTTATTGAGATTAGGAATTGACCAATGTTACATAATTGCTGAAAATTAGTGATTACTGGAGGGTGGTTTCATTCTAGTATGGAAATATTTAATAATTTGTGTTCACAGTCATGCTAAGGATCGAACCCGGAAGTTTCACATCTCACGATTAGTTATTAACCCCTAGACATCTGAGTTGGCATTCAGCAATTTACACTGTCTGATTTCAAACGATTCACGATATTGCTAAACCATCTTCAATTCTTTCCCACACCTGAAACGATCAGACTTCATAGGACATTCATTTTTCCCTAGAATGACACAAGTGTTCGACGATTTCTGGTTTATAGTGGCTGTCCAATTTGCTGAGGTTAGTTTGTTTTTATTAATATTCAAAAATATTTACACACTCCCATGCTAATAAAAATTAAATTTTTTGATCGAGATCGTGAACCGATTGATGTTGGACCACCATTAAAACCTGGAAGCATTGGAAGGCCGCTTTGTTCTATTGTGGGACTCCTTAGCAGTGCGCATCCACGATCCCGCCGGCGGGATTCAAACCCAGAGCGTTCGGTTTCATGCGCGAACGCTTAACCTCTTTGTATATTTTTTAGCCATCTGTACTTGACTGTGCGAATAATTATTTATCAATAAATTAATTACCTGAAAAATTCAATATGACTTTTGATTCGCTACAGAAACTGATTGAAGATTTTTAGCAAATTATTGCTATGAACCTCCACCAACAAAAATACCACTGTAAAACAGAGGGTAATGAATAGAAAACGAGAAAGTTTAACTTAAAATGAAATATTTGTTCATCGGGTTTTCAATGGTTCTCTGGTGGATGATTATTCGTGACAGTCACTAACTGAACGTTAGATTGACCACCATAACTGATTTATTATTTATGTTAAATTGTTTTTGATTGAAATTATAAAAGTACCATGAAATATTTGTGTCATAGTTCTGTTTTGAATCTACTTCATACTCAACATGATAATAAACTTCGCAGATAACCTAGTTCTTTTATCTCATACGCACGAAAAAATGCAGATGAAGACAACTAGTGTAGCAGCAACCTCTACATCAGTAGCCCTCAACATACACAAGGGAAAAAGCAAGATCCTCAAATACAATATGGAGAACACCAGCTCAATCTCACTTGATGAAGAAACTCTGGAAGGGGTGAAAACTTTCACGTAGCTCGACAGCATCATCGATGACCAAGGAGGATCTGATGCAGACGTAAAGGCAAGGATTGACAAAGCAAGGGCCGCATCCCTACAAGTGATCAGTATATGACACTCAAGACAACTGTCAACCAACATCAAAGCGGGAATCTTCAGTATGAACGTCAAGACAGTCCTACTGTACGGAGCTGAAACTTGGAGAACTACCACAATTATCATCAAAAATGTACAAGTATTTATAAATAGTTGTCTACGCAAGATACTCAATATATATTGACCGGATACCATCAGTATCGGCATTTTGTGGCAGAGAACAAACCAGCTTCCAGCTGAAGAAGAAATTAGGAAAAGACGATGGAAATGGATAAGATATACATTACGGAAATCACCAAATCACGAGACAAGTACTAATCTGGAAAATTTCACACCACTATTCCATTTCTGCAATATTGATTGTTTTGTATAATAATTGCTTTTAGTTTGTTACAATGAACGATGAAACGTAATATCACTTGCATAAAAAACCGCTTATCTTACCCGTATGTGGCGAGACATGTGTTACTTACTTACTTACGCCTGTTACTTCCAATGGAGCATAGACCGTCGATCAGCATTCTCCAACCCACTCTATCCTGGGCCTTTCTTTCTAGATCTATCCAATTTTCGTTCATTTTTCTCATGTGTTACTTTTCCCCAACTACCACCTATCTTAAATATGGATGTTAGCTGATGCTAGAGTACGTAGGAAGAGAGCTAGAATTATACAAACTAAGACATGATATCAATCTATAGACGCATTGATTTCACAAATTCGATCTTCCTAAACCATATCATTTTTGCCTGATATTTTGAACTGCTTTCGATAGTGTTAATACACCTTTTACTGTGGGATTTTCTAGATAATTGCATCTCACTATGCTAATGTGGAGTGATCACCTATACCGATTCACTTCTATGGTGGAATCCACGTCAGTTTTGACTGACTGAATGATATATTCAAATGTATATAAGAATGTCATTTGAATAAAAATACATAAATCATTTTTTAGAATGAATAATTTCATTTAGAAATGCTCTCATGCAAGTACAGTAGTAGATAGCTGGTTAATACAACATATATTAAAACCTTTATCTTCTTTGCGTATATATCCCCTACATATAGTGGGTTAGAATATAACATCCTTGAAACAAAAGCTTGAAAACTTGAAAAATATGTAATCATAGGGATAAGTAATTACTACCACTTATATTAGGATATCACTGAACATGTTTAAGTTTATTTCAAATCCTAATTGTTTAAATTAAATCATTTTACAGGATAAAAACTGCCTGCATAAACTACATAATCTTTATATGTTCTCATATAGGATTTCGACGATACTGAAGTGACTCCTAATATAATTTATTCGAAAATAAACCAGTTGATTGTTGATCATATGGCTTGGAGTATACTGAAAATAAAAGTAGTTTTCGTACCATACGTATTTTTCAATTAAAACTGTTTATGTCTAACTTCAACTAATCCATGAAATTGAGCGATAGATTCACCATTGTGTTGAGTGAGTTACGATCTCACAACAGACTTGGTTGAACTCCACTGGTCATGGATACTCACCAGAACTTCAAGAAATACCTCTTGAAGCCAGTCAATAATGAGTACTTGATGATTAGTATCATAAGAGGGTTTTGTAGAGATTTTAGTAATTTATAAGTTTAATTCATGAGTCAATTAAAGCTAAACCACCATGGAAACTCTGGAAGCATTGGATTGCCGTCTCATCCTAGTATGAGACTCCTCAGCAATATGCATACACGATCCCGTTTCAATGGTCTAGAGGTTAAGCGTTTACGCGCGAGACCGATATGTCCTATTTTCTAATCTTGCGGGACGGGATCGTGAGTGCACATTGCTTGGGAGTCCCATACTGGGATAAAATGGCAATCCATTGCCTCTAAATTTTCCATGGTGATCTAGCTTCAATTGACTCATGAATTCAACCATTAAGTTATTAAAATCTCCACGAAACCCTTTTCTGATAAAACCATTTGGTTATTTAATCTAAAACTACATCACTTGCTTACTTACGCCTGTTCTCGTAGAGAAGCATGGGGGATAATAAAATACCGCATTAATAAAAAAGATGAAAAACATACATTTCCAAATGTTATGCCTCGATAAGCATAATGAGTGGTAATTTTTGGGATCCATTTATGGACCAATACTCTGCATATAATTTTATTGTATAATTGTTATATAACTAAACTATTCGTATTCATGTTCCTCTTATCATAAGCTTTATTTTAACCTATGATTTACCATTCTTGAATTATGCCCTATCTATTAATTACTACCTCCCACATTCACAACCACATTTAGCTAAATCTTGTATAAATGCTGTTTCACATTTTATGATACGATGTGGTCTGTCTGGTTGGTATATAAACCCAGTATCTCTGAAATAAATGATTCATACTGCAGAGGCTGAGATTGGTGTTCTAGACTTAACAGGCTGGGTTAAGTAGTAAGTAGGACCGATAAGTACTCTAGACTGCTCGCATAGGTTTAAGCGTCATTGGTCCGATCGATAATTCACTGCTCTCTAATTGACAGTATCTTTACGTTATACATTAACAGAACACACAGGCCACAGGTTATAACACCAGGATAATTTCTGATTGTATTCAATCTAAATATTTAAAACTGATTCTCTTGATGAATTTTAGAGAGAAAAAAACGAAACCGTATGTTAATGATTGAAATACTTGAACTGAATATTCTACATGCCATTTACTTTTTTTAAGTATATACATTGAAACAACTGTTGATGTAATTCAGTTAAACAAATATCCTTTTAAATAATAATAGAAATGGTCATTTTTTACAGGTCACTTAAACTATTAATATTTTGTTTAATTCTCAATATTAAGAATGAAGTTGGGTTTCTATTTTTTAATGGTTTCTATTATCAATATTGTTTAATGAAGTAAATAGCTTATATAAGTAAAGATATAAATTGAATAGTAAATGTTACTGATACCACTAATGATTGATTGACATATGGTGTTATATGTAACAATTGTTGCTATTGTTATTATTATTGTTAGTAGTAGTAGTGGTATAAAAAGAAAGAACCGATCCACTGAATATTTCTCATCTTTATTGTTTAAATTTATTTATATTAGAAGAAAAAAAACATATTTGGTAGGGTATTATCGATCAAGCCCCCAAATGCCCTGGTATGGCCGAGAGTCGGGTGAGCCCGCCCTCCCTCTCAAAATGCTCTCATACGACCACACGTATACAGCCTCTACCAGGGAAGTCCTATTCACTGCCTTTTCGTGTCAGGGGTATTGTTTGCGAAAATGAGAGGAAGAAAAGCGAATGCCCGGCGCTTTAACCAGATCCTAAACGAATGGTACACATGGGTCCCAATATCCTGCGGGAACAAATGGCGTATGAACCAATCGCTGGCCACTGGATACTATGGGACTGCATCTCCTCACGATGCTCCACTGCCTTGTGGGTCAGACTTTCAAGTCAAAGGCCAGGGGTGTGGCCCCCTTAGTAAACCACCCGCTTGGGTCTGGGCACCGGGGCAGTATCACAGCCCACACACAAATATGATCACACGTTGTGATGCATATATATTTGGTGTCCTCTTGTACCAATATTTATGTGTTCAAATAAATAAAATAATTATCGATTAAACTAGGCAAGGGTAATAAGCGAACCACGATAGTGAATTATTAATAAGAAGGAATGTATTGGTAAGATCTTAACTAATGAATTCGAACTTGGCGCCTAAATATTATGAAACTATTTGATCAAATTTAGACATAATAATAAATATTCACTTTTATTTTGTAAGTTTATATTAACGCCTTTGAACAGTAGCTTTTTTAAAATATTACATAACTTAAATCATCAAAATTGAGAACTTGAAAAGTTGAACTGATAATGATTCTCATGAATATGTATATACTTACGACTGTTATCTCTCATGGAAAAGCATAAGCTAATTACCAACATTATCCATCAAACTCTATCCTGGACAATCCTTTCCAGTTCTTTTCAGTTTTTTGTTCATTTTATTCTTATCTGTTTACGATTCTCGACTCAGTGTGTTGTTTGGCCTTCCTCTGTTCCATTTATATACATATACATGACAGCTAACCATTTAGAAAATAAATGTCGAAAAGTGTTTGTTGTTTGAATTCAAGTACATAGAATCAAATAAGTGGTTCTGCTTGTCGATTCAATCAAACTGTACTCAGTGTTTGTCATGAATGTCTGAGAACCTTTTTTCATAAAAAGTGGAATACTCTAGTAACAAAAAAAATGTTTTCACCCTTATGTCTATGTGTTTATTGTTTATGAAACTCCTACTTTAAAAT